CTTGATTTATTTTTTTTCATAAAAAAAGAATTTAATTAGGGGTTTAGATTTTTAATGAGAGGAAAAAAATAATTTCATTTGCAATGTTTTCTGTTTACAATAAAAAAAAAATYAATTATTTGAACTATTTTTTTCRTATATTAATTAAAAAAATTTTGATCTGTGATCCAGGTCAAACTGGTCGAGCAAAAAAAAAACTCATGTTGTATGTTATTGTCCTCTGTGAAGTACTTGGATAAAAAACAAAGAGTAGCAATTGTAATGAGCCTAACAAAAAAACTGTACCATTGGGCACCTGAAAAAGAACAATAAAAAAAAAAATGATATTAATCTGATGATTTGTCACCTTTGCGTATAAAAAAATCGATGGTTAGAATTACAGTTTCACATCTTGGGAGAAAAAAATTTCTGGAATCTGTGTGTTGTGTTCTCACACAAAAAAAAAAACTCTCACAGAACCCCTCTAAACTTAAGAGTATCAAAAAAAAATTCACAACAACAAAAATTTTTTCTTCCTTAATAGAAAAAAAACTGGGTGAACACACTGCATCATACCTTGCCTTGAAAAAAAAAATGTCAATTTTTTTTTCCACCCTGGGAATGATATCATATTTACCCGTGTATAATGCACACTCTTGTTTTTAACCGAAAAAAAAAGAAAAAAAGTTTTCATGGCAAAAAAGACAAGTTAAATACTCATACAATTATTTATGAAGACAACACTAAGAAGAAATAAAAAAAGTTGTTAACATCAACATCTTTTGTTACTTAGTTATAAAAAAATATTGAAATCAAACTTTAGGACTTCAAGTGAGGCCAAAAAAATTTGACGATTCCATGGCCCGGTAAATATTATGAGTAAAAAAAAATATGTCCAAAAATTATTGAAGATTTTGTGTCATAAAAAAATATTTCTGGAATTTTCAAACTAACACTATGCAATTAAAAAAACATAAAGTCAAGTAAAAACAACATAACCACGATCAAAAAAAATGCGTGTGCTTTGTACACTTAAGAAATTTGCACATAAAAAAATTATAACAGCTAACCAAGAATTAGCTGTTAATAACAAAAAAAAATTTTTCATTGAAAATAAGTTAATTAATCAAATCAAAAAAAGTGTTACTTTTTTTGGTTGTGTTTTTAACGTATGCAAAAAAAGACCTGCATGACAAACAATAGAATCCATGTAAGATATGCACTGTGATTTTGATGGCTATTTTTGAAGAAAAAAGTGAAAAAAAAACACGGGTAAATACGGTAACAGAGGCCATGTGCTGAATACCGACAGTTCACTTACCAAAATAAAATTATCTTGAACAAAAAAAACATATATTGCCCAAAGAAGAGCCACAACAAAGTTTAAAAAAAACATGGAAAATGTCATAAATTCTGTACTCTTGTATAAAAAAACTGTAGCCTGCAAAATAAAGGTTAACACAGAACTAAAAAAAACTCCACACTAGTCCAAGAACACAAAACTATGACCCAAAAAAAACACCTCTTGACCCGATGTCCAGCATGTTATTCCTTTCACTTCCAAGATTGAATTATTAATTCTCCCCTCAAGCCACAAAAAAATTCCTTGAAAAAAAGTGATGAGATTTTGCTGATTGAAAAAAATAACAACTTCTACCTTAAAAGTTTGAATATTCTCAAAAAAAATTTGCTGCATAATGAATGGATATTCTAGGGAGAGTAAAAAAATTTATCGCTTCTGAGAGTTAAAGAGTTTTAACCATTAAGTCACTGCTCTGCATCTTCATGGCAAGAGGTAAACCAGTAAAAAAAGGGTTGAACTCAGGACTACATATTAAAAACCACTCAAAAAAATGGTCAGAAATAGGGCTAAAATCCAGCCTCACAACAAAAAAACTTACACTTTCAACACTCCATCATATTGTGACTGCAAAAATTAGTATCAAATTACTGTAAACACTTTTTGCCCCAACAAAAAAAAACAAATCAGGGGTTGAACTTACCAGTGAGAACATAAAAAAATTTGGTGGCTTCAAAAAGAGCCATTTTTGTTCATAAAAAAAAGCTTACATTTCTGGCTGATGAAAAGTGTTAGTCCTAAAAAAATAGGAGTCACTGTACACTATGCTTGAAAAAAACCCAAAAAAATCAACCAGGATCCGTAGATTTTTGGGGTTTGGCTTAAAAAAAAGTGCAGCTCATACATCAGTGTTTATGGTAAAAGCTCATAAGAGAAAGTAAGTTAATTCTTACCACAGAAGCAAGAGAAAAAAAATACACTGCCACAGTGAAACCACTGGCAATGAATCAAAAAAAGAAGACAGCAGTGTCATAATCAGCAGTGAAGTACTAAAAAAAAGTCAATACTGAACACACTCCAATAAATGAAAACAAAAAAAACTGCATTAACAGCTTCTATGAAATAATTGGAAAGTAAAAAAAAGTGTTAACAATTTGTGACACTTTAGCGATAATCTAAAAAAACCACAGTATTAGTAAAAAAAATTTTATCAGCACTTAATTTGAGAATAATACGTACATGAAGAATTTCTCTCTGAGTGAAAAAAACAATATCTCGTGAGTGAGATATCAAGCATAACACTAAAAAAATTTTTATTTTGTTTACAAACAACTACTCACCTTATAAAAAAAATTAATGTAATAAAATAAAAGATATGCAGATTGCAAAAAAAATCCTAATATTCCTATTGTATAAATGGGAGCGTCATAAAAAAAGATGCCATACTTTGTCCAAAGAATGGAACTGAAGTAAAAAAAAAACATAAAACAGTATGAATAGGCCATTTTCAATAAAAAAAAATTCTAACATGGCTCCAAAGCTTAGGGGAATAAAAAAAAAAAAATTATTCATTCATCCCTCAACCTTGATGTGATTTAAAAAAAGGAGCCAAGTTTTAATTTTTATGTATTGAAAATGGAAAAAAAATAAAATCATCTTGTTTCCATTTTTTACTTAAGACAAAAAAAGCATGCCGTACACAAGAGTTTCATTTAAGTTTGGAAAAAAAATGCATCTAGATTTGGCATCCGAGCATAACTGAGTAAAAAAAAAAGAGGCTTTCCCCCTCTCAAAGGTGATTGGAAGGAAAAAAATATGGAAAATTCTGAACATGCTTCAATAACAATTTCCCTCAGTAGGAGAAAGCATCAAGTGTCTTGCCCAAGAACACAAAAAAACAACATCAACCAAGCCAAATCTGTAACCCAGATCCCTTGACCCCTAATTCAGCATGCTGACTGTAAGGCCATGGTACAAAAAAAAAAGTTTTGTTCTACCCATGGATTTTTCATTTTAAAAAAAAAAGAGAGATGCACTGTGATAAAAGAAGTATAGTTTCAAAAAAATGTTTTAATTTCACAAGATTCGCATTTGTCGCCACAAAAAAAAAAGGGCATGGAAAAGAAGTGTTTTTGACTAATAAAAAAAAATGGAAGTGCAAAAGAAAACTTAACATATGTGATTTAAAAAAACTGGAAACTAACCAGTAGCCATGCATGTGAACCGAAAAAAAACGGTGACCTCAAGAAGCGTCTTGTCCAGTAACATGAAAAAAATCCCAGAAGCATTCAGTAGTCAATGGTCCAAATTAAAAAAATTTGGACCTTCCTTAACACAAATATATCTATTACATAAAAAAAACATGTTGACAAGAACGGGAAAAAAGTTACATTCTAAAAAAAGCCTTGTCGCTTTATTTTCAAACAGACTTCTCTAGAAAAAAAGTGGAAAACTTAAATAAATCTTTCGCCATTGTTCAAAAAAAAAATTTCAGTTTTAGATATTTTAAAGTTAGATTTGCAAAAAAATACAAGCATGATGCACACAATGTCCTATAAGAACTCAAATTGGGTTGATGATAACTAATCACATTCCAGAATTTTGCAAAAAAATTTACTAGAACCATTTACAAACCAGTCCACACAAGAAAAAAACTACATTCTTTCCTTAGGAAAGATATCATGAGCTAAAAAAAATCATAATAATTCCCTACCCCAGCCTGAGAATTAATAAAAAAACTTAACTAACCCTAAGCTATGTCTTTAGGGGGTAAAAAAAAAACAAAGAGGTGGTGCGAACAAAGAGACTTGGAATTAAAAAAATAAAAAAAACATCAAAAAAGAGGTGATAAGTTTCTAAAAAAACAGTGTGGTGTTGCATCAGTAGGGGGTATAATTGAAAAAAAATTTGGTTTTATCAACTGAGTTAATAATTGATGTAAAAAAAAAACCGTGAAGAGTTTCTTGTTAAAAGCTTGTGTTTTAAAAAAAAGCACTTTACCATGGTGAAAAAAAAAAAATACTATAAAAAAAACATTTTTTTTTCCGCCTGTAGTGCAAAATACACTAAAAAAATTTTTTTTTTCTTTTTTTAAAATACGTTTAGTGAGAAAAAAAGTTCAAAACAGAAAGGAACAAAACAAAGCTTTATTAAAAAAAGAAAAAAAATTTTAATTTGTAACATGATCAGCCAAAAAAAAAAAGACAAATAATCTTTGTTGCCTCAACATTATCTTGTACCAGGGAGTTGCTAGGAAGAAAAAAAAGGTAGCGAACAAAAAAAAACTTTTAAAAGCAAAATCGCAACTAAGTAACTTACTAAAAAAACTTAAAGAGGGAAAATTTATTCCAAACATGACCTGAAAAAAATATCTTCACACCAAGATACGGTTAGATGCGGTTAGAAAAAAACATGCGCGCTACGGATAATTTTCGACTCTTTTGTCACGATAATTTGTCAGAAATATAGCCTGCATTTACATAAGGATAAAAAAATACTCACATCCCAGTTGAAAGAAGTCCAAACTGACAAATCGTTGCCGTCCATGATATGTACTGTTTTACATCCATGGAAAAAAAGTAATCGGCGACATTTTAAATACAGAGAATGAACCCAGCGAAAATACCGTGATTGCGTTAGGGAAACTGGGAACGACAAAAAAAGAACGCATGCAACGCCTGGTTAAAATCTTACATTTAAAAAAATGACGTGCAGCTCGCCAGTACAGGGGGAAAAGATTAAAAAAAAATAAAAATGTCGCAAATGGCTGTTAATGAGGCTAAAAAAAATCTGCGACCTGAGTTGAAGAAGAGAATCGCAACCATGACAGATGAAGCAAAAAGAACGGAATCTACCTCAATTGTGAAAAAAAAACGTTCTGGCCTTTGTTCATTTGGCTCTAATTTGGAAAAAAAGATCTAAGTTGTTGTGTATCGCTGCTGTTGTTCTTGTCATTTGATTATCTGTATTGTTCTATCTCGCAAGGTTCTTCAAAAAAAGGAGTACAAATCAAGCAAGCGAATTTCAGTTTATCAAAAAAAACCCTCAGAAGTTCAAACCAAAGGAATTTTGAAGGAAAAAAACTAAAGAAATTGATTTGACCGCCGCCCAGTTAGCCAAAAAAATAGTGCTCTGGACTGTTGTGCGGCCCCAACCGGACAAAAAAACAAGGTCTTGAAATAATTGAGAAGAATTTGCTACCAAAAAAAGACATCAAGAAATGGTTAGATATTCTAGTCTTCTCAAAAAAAGACGACTAACTGAAGGTCCCGTCTCCTGCAAGGTTAAAAAAAGGAGACGTTAATTTCCCACTCACGAGATTACTGTGAAAAAAATGTCCTCCCCTGGGGTGGGATGGTGGGATGTACAGAAAAAAATTTAAACCAGCTTCAAGCTGAACTGGGCTGGTCTGAAAAAAAAACGTAAATACATACATACAAATTCTTTTGTATTGAAAAAAAGTTCTCGAACATCTCAATTATGACTAACTGTAGTTAAAAAAACATCTCTGTCACAGGAGCTTTTCCACGAAAAGAAGAAAAAAAGTTACATAAATTTAACCACGTGTAAAACCTTTAACAAAAAAATCCCATAAGTGACCAAGACAGAATTTCTCCTTACAAAAAAAATACAGTACCAAGCAGACAAGTCATGAGAATGTAGAAAAAAAACAAGTAGGGACCATTAGTTGATCCAATACCAAATTCCCCAAACTTGCACCATAAAAATTGTATGGCATACAGTAAGGAAAAAAACTACTTAGATCTCTGGAATGAAAAGGTTAAGGCACAAAAAAAGGCTTTCTCTCACAATTGAACAAGGCCAGGTCAACAAAAAAATTCTGGTTAATTAAAGGTTTTGTCTGATCAACTCCTTGAATGGCTGGACATTTTCTGCAGTTTATTTTTTGCATGTGAAAAAAAACTAAATTCCAAACTAAATTTAGGTTTTAAATACAAAAAAAACCTTTTTCTTGTCTCGAGTTTGAGGCAAAAGCATGAAAAAAATACTTGTTTTATAAGGAGGGGATGATGGAATTTATAAAAAAAGATGCAATGGATATTTGTCAAGCAAAAAGTGGACTAAAAAAAAAAATGACAAACAGTTGGAAAAGAGGAAACAGATAAAAGCAGCGACTAACTTAAGGTTTCAACTGATAAATCCATTTAAAAAAAAATAACATGTTTCCACAAAGAGTCTGCTCAAAATAAAAAAAAGTACACACAAAATATGAAATCAAATATGGATTCTTAAAAAAATTATTCCTGTGGAGCTTTTTCTTCTTGGGATTCTCAAAAAAACGTTTGTTTAATTGAGACTGACGTCTTGGTGGTAGAAAAAAAGAAGCCTCTTCAGCTTCTTTCCATTCTTTGTAAGCAAAAAAAGAAGGAAAAATTGTAGTAAGAAAACAAACCCAAGAAAAAAAATCACAATGACAAAAAGTCTTTTAGAATCAGCGGGTAAAAAAAAATAAAAACAAGGAGTCAGTTAAAAGAGCGGTGGGAAAAAAATGCTCCTGTGAAACATACAAAAAACGGACGAATAGAAAAAAATTTTACTTTTTTTTTTAATTTTTGAGAGGCAAGTAAAAAAAAAGAAAGTTTGTTGAAAGGCAACTCAAAGAAGCCAGAAAAAAAATGCAGGAGTGTGCTAAATTTTTGTTGACGTTTCGAAAAAAAACTCACCATCTTCGCCAGATCAACTTCACAGGCCACGAAATCAACTTATAAACAGCCACCACCACACAGTTCATCACCAGTACGGCTGAGATCGTGTAGCCAGTTTCACGCCAGCTCGAGACGATGATGTGTGTTTGAATACTTAGCAGATGTTCTGTTGGAAAAAAAAACAAAAAATAACATTAAGAATATTTATAATGATTAAAAAAAGATTATACACGATTCCGCAGAGTATTTAAGGAATTTTTTTTTTTGGAAGGCTTTCGACTCACCGTGAACATATAAAAAAAAAAACTTGATGAGCACTTCACCTATCTCTAAAATGAAAAAAAGCGCAGGTTCAAGTGGTTTACAGTTCCTTTTAAACAAAAAAAATGACCAGTTCGCTAACCGTTTCGCTTCCCCCCATAAAAAAACGGCCCATCGCTTTGATCCAATCCATGTTTTCTCGAAAAAAAATGAAGCATTCTCCTTCGAGACCGCTGCCAACCATAAAAAAACGTTCCAAGTCAGTTCCGTCAGCCATTCAGTACTGTCCAAGTACCACTGGGTCATCCATAAACCTCGGAAGTACACGAAAAAAACTACCCACATCATCGTGGTAAAGACCCATTCCGCCAAAAAAATCAGTCCGTTCCAAATGTTACCGACGCAATCCACCAAAAAAATCCAAATTTTACTAGCAAAATCCATCAACCATTTCAAAAAAATCCAAATGTTCTTAACCGTTGTTCCAACGCCATTTAAAAAAATTTTCCAACCTTTAACCACTGTTGTCACCACAAAGGTCCACGTGTTTTCCATCATGATCCCCACTTGAGAGATCATTAAAAAAACTTTCTGTTTGTACACTTGGTACTCCAAGCACGTCAAAAAAACAGGATATTCTGGTAGTTCCTTGCACTTGAGGATCAAAAAAAAGAAGCCGCCAGCGGCGAAAAAAATATGGTCACCAAAAAAAACTAATTTTTTTCTTTGTCAGTATAACTATCGGCTCAAAAAAAGGAGGAAACCTTATCATGACAAAAAGCAGTATTTTAAAAAAAGATGACAAATTGAACTTCAAAAGTCCAGTTTAAATAAAAAAACAAGTTTCGGTGGATCATTTCCAAAACGTGGACCGTTCAAATCTTTAGAACTTTTTTTACCAGGAAAAACAAGCTGCAAAAAAAGATCCAGTGATAACACTTGAATCCTTATCAAATATAAAAAAAAGCAAGAAAAGACCGACATGTTAATTTACATTCAGAAAAAAAGCTGTCAGTAAGGAATGCGAGCATTAGTTGACCCGAAAAAAAAACTCCTTGCATTTGCCGAGATTGTTCTAAAATACAAAAAAACCTTTTCGATCCAAGTTCCGACCACGAACGAGTCTTCGTTGAAATCTTCGAAAGGTAGTTTTTGCCATTCGATGGCTAAAAAAATATCTAGTGCAAAAGGATAATAGCATAATGATTATAAAAAAATCGTGACTATTTCTTACGGTCATACCTATTACAAAAAAAAAACTGAATACGAACTTTTTGTGAATCTACAACAAAAGAAAAAAATAGAAATAGGATTGTGTGGGGAAATGAAAAAAAAAAAAAAAAGTCAAAGCGTGCGCTTCAATAAAAGAAAAATAGGGCGCCCTGCACGGAGCGCGCACGCTGGTCAATGCGCCTAAAATAAAAAAAGGCAACCATGGCAACCCCGAACTTGTTTATTTTCCAAAAAAAGTGTGAAAAGTTTGTAAAATTCCCCGTTCGCAAAGAAAAAAATTTGTTTTGGAGAACTTTGAAGAGTCTAACTTTTAAAAAAAAAAAAATGGTTGAAATGTTAGTGCTTGGGAAACATTAAAAAAATGATAATAAGGTAAAAAATGTTTCAATCATTTTCTAAAAAAAATCGTTGAGTACCGGGAAAAAGTAAAACTTTTGAAAAAAAAAGAAATGTTTTCAAAACTAACTTGAAACTTACCTTCAAAAAAACTAGCCTGTGTAACCGCCGTTAATTGAAGCACAATTGCCAACGCAGCGATCAAAATCACACTTCTCCTCATTTTTGTAAAAAAATTTTCCTCTCCTGAAAAAATGCACAGCTTCGATCCAAAAAAAAGAGCGAAGTGATGTTTGACGTCACACAGGATGATCTATGACGTTGTGTGCGCGAGACAAGGCAGTGAAAGTCGGTCCCAGTCTGCTCTTAGTTTTCCAACTGAAAACACGCTCTTTTAGTTTTTTGTGAAAGAATTGTGGTGACTTTTACGAGGCAGCAATTATTTAAGAATTAGAGGGAAGAAGAAAATTATGTTTAAAATAAGCTTATATGACATCTCTTTGACATTGTATAATTTAATAGACTGCCTACTTTATTGTTTTGTTTGTTTGCTTATTTATTTTTCAGGGAATGTTTTATTCCACGATATATTGGTCCAAACATGGATATGGTTAAACTGCACTCCATGGAGGACATGATATCCTTACCAGTTACTTCCTGGAACATACAGCAGCCTGCAGGTGAATTTTTGATACTTGATAAATACAACGTGTTCGATGGTTTGACATAGCACGCGCGGAGATTTAGCGAGCCGCGTAGTATTTTCCGAGTTTCTAAAAAAAGAGAAAAAAAATTACTTTGACGTCTAATTTTCTAAAAAAAAATACAAACTTACCTGAGCATGGTATCGATCATATAGAAAAAAAGCGAAAGACGAAAACAACATAAAAGAAACCATTAAAGTTTTCTTTACGACCAGAAAAAAATATTTGATCTGCTTTTAAAAAAAATGCTTTAAAAGTCAACCCTGAAAAACGGAAAAATAAAAAAAAGGATTATTTAGTGCAGCCCTTTTGCTTTCCGTCCGTATTTTCGCCTTGCTCTACGGTGTAATACCGTTACATGGTTTAAAAAAACAGTTGCCCTAATATGGTAAAATGGCGCATTAATTAAATACTAAATTTCAATACAAGCTCTGCTGCAACATTTCCAGAAAAAAACACCTACCAGTGACAATGCAACAACTACACTGTTCAAAAAAAATAGACAGCGCTGTTTCAATATTATTTAATGTTTAAAAAAAACGCAACCGCTTTATTTTGGAATTGATTTCTCTTTTGATTCTTTTCTTGTTTAGAGGATGATGAAAGAGAAGAAGCCAAAAAAAAAGGTGGACTGGATCTCATCGTCGTTCCAGGACTTGAAAAAAAAAAGGTCAGTATTTGAATACTATTACTAATTGTTAAAAAAAAATTTGTTGAAATATCACCCGTTTTCCCGCCCTTTTAAAAAAATGCCGTTGGGGACCACGGGCCTCGGTACTTTTTTTAAAAAAAAGGCCATCTTGGTTTCGTTAATTGTTTTGAGGTCGAAATAAATCATTTCAATTGACGACTTAGTCCTACATATTCAAAAAAAAAACTATCGAGCACAGTAATTGATAGGGAGTCATTCCAAAAAAAGCGGATAGCCAAAGAATTAAAGCTACCCTCATTAATTACTACAAGAAAAGATATTTTTCAGATGACGTAAGGTATGGAAAAAAAGATGTAACGCAGCTATGTCTGCTCCGTAGTGCGCCAAAAAAATCACTTATAATTTGGTTTTCCTTGCATCTCTTTTTAAAAAAATGGCCTCCGTCTTGGCAGAGGAAAGGTAACCATTGAAAAAAAACACATAGAAATTATATATAGTTTTGAATTATTAAAAAAAAATTGTGTCGACTGTTTTCGATTGTGTTCTTTTCAGGAAAAAAATGACTCGTACATCATGAGGTGCATCGAAACGTGCAAAAAAAAGCCGCTTTTGGTCGGTAAGAATTTTTTTCTTATTTAAAAAAACTCGCCTTGGCGTGGACTATATATGGATAACAGTTAAAAAAATTGGCCCTGAAGAGCTGTGGTTGATAGTATTTTTAAAAAAAACTTCTTTTCGTTTACTTTTTCTTCCCCAGGTTTGGAAAAAAATACTCAGATCTGCGACGACCTCCCTGTTACAGAAAGAGACATGCCATTGGATCACGTGATCACGAGTGAACCAGCTTAAAAAAATGGCGACTTCTGAGTAATGACATTAATGACCCAAGAAAAAAAAAAAAAAAGACAATCACACAAAAAAATTAACATGTAAAAAAACTCTCGAGAACTACGTTACACAAAAACTAGTAATTTTCTTCTTTTCAAATGTGATCAGAAACAGGCTTGTAAAAGATGTCAATAACTCAGTAACAGTGTCGCTATTCGGGATTCATAAAAAAAAAACAACACATATGTAGTATTCTATTTCAAGGCTTTGTAAAAAAACCTATTTCAAAGTGTCCTGGGGCCCGTTTCTCAAAAAAAAAAGTAACTTTACGGGCCCGTGAAGCTGTTCTGTTTCCAAAAAAAATGGGTTTCAAAACGTTTTGAAAATTCAACGATAAAAAAAAAAGCTAAAGAAACAAAATGGACTGGTTAGGGCGCCAAAAAAAACGCCTCTATTCTTAAAATTTTGATTTTAAGATATGAAAAAAAGGACTTTCAAAAAAAAGACCCCTGAGCCGGAATGTAAAAAAATGAACACGTGATTACGACTAAGACCTTATGTTTTTGTAATGGACAAACAAGTCAGCTGAGCATGCCGTGAGAAGTACAAAAAAAAATACCTTTCGTGGCGCGTGTTCTAACTCCACCCAAAAAAAACGTTTCACGGTTTCCTTTACCAACATGGCGCTATTAAAAAAATAAATTTATTCATACGTATGATGCACGATTCTTCGAAAAAAATAGCGCTATTTATGCAATAGCGAAAATCAGACCTGAAAAAAATCAGGCCTGTACGGGATTCGAACCACTGACCTCTGCGATACTAGTGCAGCGCTCTACCAATTGAGCTAACAAGCCAACTGGGAGCAGGCCGTTAAGTTGATTCGTAATAAACCCGTGATGATAAATCAGAAGAACTTCATATATTCATTGTATCTGATTTATCATCACGGGTTTATTACGAATCAACAGAACGGCCTGCTCCCAGTTGGCTCGTTAGCTCAATTGGTAGAGCGCTGCACTAGTATCGCAAAGGTCAGTGGTTCGAATCCCGTACAGGCCTGAATTTTTTTCAGGTCTGATTTTCGCCATTGCATAAATAGCGCTATCTACTGCAAAGAATCGTGCATCGTACGTATTTAATACCGCAGTTCAAAATATATGAACTTCCTATATTCATTGTATCTGATAAATTTATTCATAGTTCGGAACTGTATTAGCTACGCGCCATTAATGGATAGAAATAATTTAAGTTGAATAAATATAATGCAGTTATTAGGGTGTGATATTTAGAGTTCATAAAATTGTACTGGTGATCACGCTTAATATCTAATGGCCTTTTATGTTGAGCAAGACATCTCAGGAAAGAATTATGCGTGGGAAAACAGAATTGCGACTAAAATATTCTACTTAAATAACATTTAGAGTGGCAAATTGGTGCAAATATAGCAGCCTAAAAATGTTATTAAACAACTCTCTCGACTGTTGCATATTGTATTACACAGGGGTGGATCCAGGAATTTTTGATTGGCGGAGTCCAAACTTTGGTTCAGAAAGGACTGTTGGACTCTTTTGAGGCAAATTACTTCTCCCCAGCACCCTCCACACCCCCTCCACACCCCCTCCCACCAGTCGCGGTTACAGGTTATAATTCCTTGGCCGCTTACCGTTTACTTGGATTCATTAATAAAAAAAAAAAAATCAGCCAGTTGAAAAGTGATATACGATCCTGTCGATGTAAGAATTTCAGTCTCAAAAATGTAAGCGTCAGGTCTGATAAGGGGGGGGGGGGCCGGACCCCCCGCACCCTCCCCCTGGATCCGCCACTGTTACACGTTATCGGAAAGTAGTTTTTATTATCGAAACTGAAGTAAAATGAAATGAAAACAAAAATACTTCAAATTAAGGTTTAGTTAATTTTATTTCTTTTTGAAAGAAGTATGAGATGGCATAAAAAATATAGAACTCTCTCAATTTCCTGACTAAAAAAATGGAAACAAAAAGCCTTTATTTATAAATTAAAAACACAAAAACGACCCCTTCACACTCATGCAAAGTCATTTTAGAGTTAATTGACTGTGTGCCACATCCTTGGTCTAAAAACATAAATTATACATAACTCGCTAGGCCAAACTGTAGGTCTGTTTTCAAAGGCGTGAGAAATGCTTTGCTCAACGAATGAAAGGTACTTGATATTTAAATTCATGTCTTCGTCTTTGGAGACGTGGGCGAGAACAAAATGGTACTAAAACTGAGGCACCATAAAGGGCATTTGTAAGCTATCACTAGCCTAGCTATATACATCTTCCTCTCTGAATTTTTTTTTCTGGACTTAACTGTGCAGAAGTGGTAAATACCACTTGAACTAAGATGTTCTTTAAAGCAAGCGTTAACTTGCAGTATACCACTGATTTTTATTTCTCCTTTTGCTTTTCACGGGCAGATTTAGTTTCATAAACAGCTGTTCATACAAAGTTTTATGAAACATTTATAGTCAGGACAGCTTCCAAAAAATAACTTCAATGTTTAGGCGAATGAAATTGGAAATATTTATCGACATGGTTTAGCCTTTAAAAATACGTTTTTTTTTGTTTTGACTAGAGCGCAGTGGCAAACTCAGAAGATTTTTCTCTTGGATTTGATCCACAGAAATAGCAATTCCACGCTCCTATATCTTTGAAGGGAAGCAAAGCGTCTGGAGTGCAATGTCTTCAGTTGGAAGTACTTTTTTTAAGAGGACACTTTTGCTTTTAATCTTTGGATTTGTAAATGCTGCAATTTTTACCCTTATCGAGAATCGAGAAGAAAATTACAAGACCACTTCTAATAGAATGTTACAACAAATGAGGAAGAACTTTACGAAACACCACAACTTCTCGGACGAAGAATTCGAGTATTTTGCAATAGCTTCATACAACGCTGTTCACATGGGCTTGTCTTTGGACTGGACCTATTTTAGGGCAGTGGATTTCACGTACACAGCAATGACTACAATTGGTGAGCCTCCCTTCCTTAGCCTGTCGTGGTTTTATGATACTTCCTCTTTTCAGCAATGATGGGGGGCCACCTGTGCAGTAACCTTTTTTATTATTATTAATTATTCTTCTTTTTGCAGGATACGGCCGTCTAACACCCATCACCACATACGGGAAATTGTTCTGTATCGTATTTTGTATGCTTGGGATTCCACTATGTCTTCTAACCCTAAAATCTGCGGGTGAACTTATTTCAGAATTTTTGACGTGTGTGATAACTCGCGTAGAGATTATAGTTCTTAAAACAAAGACTGTAAAAGACATTGAGATTAAACGCGCTCTACTCGCGTTCGCTCTAATGGCAGTGTATCTCTCGTTCACTGCAGTCACGCAAGTAATAAAGGAAAACTGGACATTCGTGGATGCTTTTTATGCGTCTTTTATAGCATATTCTACCGTAGGTTTTGGAGATTATATCCTTTTTGAAAGTGTTACAGGGCAAGGCAAAAACGGAGCTGCCAGCACGTTTTTTCACGTGTTTGCAACTTTCCCGGCGCTTTTTGGACTGGGAATTGTGGCTTGCGTAATCAACTGTGTTTTAGATGTTGTTGAGAAAAAACATTTACACCTCAGCGATGGCTTTTGCTGCCGTCGCTCAAGGAGACTAGGGAGAAGGAAAAATAAAGAGTCGATGAAACTTTTATCTTTTAGTAAACTGGACAAAGAAGGTAGACGCACCAGAAGGTCTCATAGTGTATAAAAATACATCATGATTTTAAATTCTGTCAGAGTTTTAATTAAAGAATATTTTGAAAAAAGATGATTTCACCCAGATGGGGTGTTTCTTTAAGCCTGGGCGGTTTTCATGATCGACCGAGTCGGGACCACTCTAACCGCCTCCCCGTTAGCTCAATGGATAGAGCGCTGGACTGTTGTGCGGGAGGTCGAGGGTTCGAGCCCCGGCCGGACCAACACTCAAGGTCTTAAAATAATTGAGAAGAATATGCTGCCTTTCTATAACATC